AACTCTCCCTATTTGGTAAATTCTTGACATTTCCATAAATAACATAACTAAGAATCATATCCATTCGTTGTAGAAATATGCAAACATCAATTTTCACATAACGATTTCATTGCAAGGAAGTAAACAAATAAATAAGTCAAACAAAATTTATTTTATTATAAAAGCAGCGGAAAAACATTTGTCCTTACAATGCAAAATCTATTGAAAACTATGTAAAAAGAAAATTTCTAACAACTCTATCATAACTATCTAAGCTCAAAATCCAATCTTCAAGTCCATGCGATCAAGATCCATCTCTTGTGATTAGATTCATCTTGCTCTCTTATCAAGCTTCCTTTCTTTTCACCGATCCTTCAAAACATTCAAATGCAATCTTATCACATCATGTATTAAGAATCAATGAATAGGAACTTAATGGAGTTAGATAGTGGATTCTTACCTAAAGCGTAGTCATACTTTTGACTCTCCCATCTCTTAGATCTCTTAGGTAAATAGGGCAACTTCGTCTCCAATGCCCCTTCTCTTGGCAATAAAAGCAAATTGACTCTTTGGAACAACACATGGAACTACTTCAGACATCGCCTTTCTCTTATGATCAAACTTTTCGATCATTGCATGTCTTTCATTGCCATTGTCTATATCCATAGAGGTCTTGAAGGCAGATTCACCAATCAACTTTGCTTTTCTATTGCGCCAAACCATTGTTGATTCAGCAGCAATAAGCATGTAGGTGAGATCTATAAGTGTCACGTCGTGGTTCATCATATAGTACTCTCTTACGAACTCACTATACGAGTTAGGAAGTGACTGAAGAACCCAATCAACAGCCATCGCTTCACCGACAACGGATCCCATCATTCTTAATCTATCAATGTGTGACTTCATCCCTAAGACGTGTGCACACACCGACTTGCCCTCTTTATGTTTACTTGCCAAAAGGGCTTGAGTGATATTGAACCTTTCAATTTTACAATCTTGTGGGTTAGGGAGAATAATTGGAGGAGGAGGAGGAAGTGAAGCATGATTTCTTGTTCCTCGATCGAATCGTGGAATATCATCTTCATGTGGAATGCTTGTTCCACGGGATTTGAGAAGACCATAGTTGTCGAACTTTGACATCGGGAGAAAAACGAATTCAAGTTAGTTGATTGATTGAGTCCTTGGTAAATCACCCAAATGAAATTCCAAGGCTAGGACCCAACACAATATCCTACAACTCGGGAGAGGGATGCCGTAACCCAAATTGCAGAACATTTGAAGGTAAGTGAATGACGATTCACTAATTTCCACCATGAAAAACGAAAAAGAAATTTAAGTTTTAAATCTATGAAAACTCCTAGATCCTTTGAGATTCATTGAACATTTCAATGGCATGTTTAAATCTCGATATGCCCCTCTTGTTTGTGACTGGGATGCCGAGGATCACAAAGCGGGTGTGAATAACCATGCAAACTACATGGTGCCCTCACATGTTACAATCACCTATTCGATGTGCCGGTAAACCACACACGCTCCACCGAACTATGACAAACATTGAGTCACCCTTTGCTACCTTTGCTTAGAACCATTTAGTGTGCCGGTAAACCACACACGCTCCACTAACGTCTTCGCAAGGGCACAAAGTGTAATTTCATGGAATTGCATCAATTCACTTTTGCCTAAGTAACTAAGATTGGGAATTTGAAAAACATTTAGTTACTTTGTATTTCATTATACTTATAATGGAAGGTTTCGTCCTATCCTACCCGTTCGGCTAACGACCCTCCACTAGTCAAGAGTGCGGTGGGTAAGAGTGGATACCCATTCAATCGCCATTTTATAGGCAATTTCCTTAAACACCCCTTATAGACCAGCTTCGTGAATGAGGCCTACTAACGGTAAGACTGACTTTTACTCATACATATATATAATGTTAGACTTTTAATGTTATATATATAGTATAGGGTGTATTTTATACTTTTAAAATACTATATGGTTAACTTTAACAATTACACTTTTAATTCAATTAAATAGGTTAACCTAAACTTTTATGGATTTATTAAATCTCTTTTAATTATACTCCTTAATTAATTAATAAAACCATAAGGGTGTGATTTGAACTTTTCAAAACATTACTAGGGTTTTAGAATTTAACATTCTAATTAAACTTTTAATCAACTTTTAAATTCCAAAACTTGAGGGCAAGTTTTGAAACCTTTTTCAAAACATTAGGGTTTTAACTATTTAAATTTCAAAACTTCAAAACTTTTGGGTTCAAATTTAAACTATAAAACCTAAAGGGGAAAATATGAAACTTTCATAACAACAAGGATCAAATAACAAATAATCTAAACTAACATTTATTACATAATTATCCATATTTGATTTGTTTAATGATTTCTTGCAAAACAATTTATCAATTTACTCAAAATAATTAATCAATTATCTTATAAGGAAACAATTATCTTGTTAATTGATAATTATCTTTAATTAGATCAAGAATATAGTCATATATATCATAAAATCGGATTTATATTGATCTAACATGATAAGGTAACTATCCATATGCAAAAACAGCAAGAAATCCCGAGATAAGCATTATCTGACGCTCGAACTCCCGAGTACCACACTGTACTCGCCGAGTTGAGGTCTACTCGCGAGTTCCTCAGCCATAAAGCCCAAAAAACGATTTTCCAGTTATACAATGCATCAATACAATTGAAACCAAGCTAGGCTCTGATACCACTGATGGGTTTTGGTCATAAGACATCCTATGTGCTCATACAAACCCTAATGCTTGGATCTAGGTTTCTCTATTGTACATGCTTTGAATCCAAGACTATAAACCCTAATTCTAACATATAAATCATTAACATATAATTAGGTTTAAGACATACCTTGATTGTTATGTAGCAATAACAATCCAAATCTCCTTGTATTGACTTTGGAAGCTTAGAGTCACAAGTGTCACTCCTCTAATGGCTCACAAACACCATAAGCAAGAGGATGAAGAGGAGAGAGGATGGAGGCTGCCAAAAACGTGTGTAAACCCTTACAGAACATTAGCCACGTTTTTGAGCCTTAAGGGGTCTTTATATAGTTGGGCTATTAGGGTTATCTAACAAGGAAACCCTAATTTGGATGCTTAAGCCCTAAGCAACCCATAGACTCCTTTTATCAAGCCCATGGACGATTTCCTTATGGGTTTCCCATTAGAATTCGTCCATCCCTTAATACAAGGCAATCCATGGCCCATATTGCAATTATCCTATAATTACAATTCCAGTCCCTTAAGTTTAATTAATCTCTTTTAGTCACAAAACTAATTACCAATTAATTATTGATTAATATTAATTAAACAATATGATTTCTCCTTTAATATATTATTCTCATAATACATTAATAAATCATATTTAATCCTTACTCTCCATAAATCATCCTATCAAGTTGCTTTGGTGAAGGCAACCCAAAAGGACCATGCATCATCGGGTCAAGTACATACCAAAATAGTTATGGACTTAGACACTAATCCAACATTTAAAACACCCATCACGATTTTGACCATCTTTATCACAGAACGTGCAGTGTTGTGTTTCTGACTCTTGCTTTGTGGAGCCTTGATTTAACTTGTTCTTTTGCCAAGAATTCTCGTCTCGTTTGTTTGGCATAAAGGTCTTGAAGGCAGCAGCCTCTATGGAGGGTTTATTTTTGTCATTGGTGATGTTTCTTTCACATTCATCTTCAGCAACAAGGTGATAAGCGAATCCTAGACCAAGTGTTGGAGAAGTAGCGAGTATTTGAGTTTTGATGACATTAAAGTCACCATCGATCCCCATGAGAAACTCATACATCCTCTCATTTTCTTGATGTTCAATGTGACGTCTTCCAATTCCGCAGGTGCACCCATTACAGATGCACTTCGGTGTAGGGCACGTGGATTGGATTTTGTCCCATAGTGATCAAAGGTTGGTGTAGTAGCTAGACACTTAAGTCCCATCTTGTCGGGTGGCGGTGAGTTGATTCTTTAGTTCATAAGCTCTGGGAGCACTTTCTTTCCCAAATCTTTCATGTAGATCCAACCATATTTTTGAAGCAGTGCTAGCATATTTGACGCTGCTTTGTATTTCTTTTTCCATAGTTTAGTAAGCCATCCCTTTATCATTGCGTCACATTTCATCCAAGCCATGTAGTCCTTCAACGTCTTCTCTGATGGTATCGTCTATGAACCCAATCCTGTTCTTGGCGAACAAGAAATTCCCCATCTCTTGGACCCAATCCGTGTAGTTTGTATCAGACAAAGCTTCGTTGAGTTGGATTTGTCTGGGAGAATCAGATGGGTGAATATAGTAAGAAGAATCATGATCTTGCGTGTTGTTGTTGTTACTGTTCTTATTGGAGGATTCAATACCATCACCAGCCATGGAGATTTAGGGTTTCGCAGAGCGGCAATGGCTTCTACTCTGATACCATCTTAAAAATCATTCATTCATATTTCATCAAAGATCAAAAGGTCATTTATATACAATACAATAAAGGATATAGAATGATAGAAAATATAGCTACAAAATAGAAGATAAAAAACAAGAATAAATCAAATCCAATATCAAGAATCATAAGCATCAAGGGAATGCCAAATTTTACAACATCTACCAATCTTGTACAAAATGGACATGACAACTTCATAACCTAATAATATGTGTCGTCTTTAAAAGATGATTATTACAAGTCGGGCATGTATAAGACAGAAGAACAATCCCTCTACTAACTTCTAGAGATTACCAATTTGTGGTAATTGTTCTCCAAACTCTAAATGTCACCGTTAATCATTAAGGTTGTAATTTTAAAGTTCTACGGTTATATATAGTAAAATCTGTTGGGTAAATTGGTTTTGAATCATACGAGCAGAGTCGGTTCTAAAAAATAAAATATTCTTAAAGGTTTAGGACAAACAAGAAAAAAAAACGTCATTATCTATATTATAATTTTTTATTTTTAAATAAAAATATATAATGAAAAAAATTCGGCCGTGTGCAGCTGCTCACTTTCCCCCCTGTAAGCCCCCATGCATATGAGTTCAAAAAAAAGGCATTTTTGAAATCTAGGGGCATGAAATATAAATTCGACACTTCTTTAATTTCACAAAACACGATAGTTAGATATACGAGAAGTTTTAGCTTCGAGTCAATATTGAGTTTTGTTAAATAAACGACTTAAAAGTAAGTCAAATGACATATTATGTAAATGAAGGGATGACTAATTGGTTCAAATTAGAACTCAAAATTAGAGATTTGATCCAGGCGCAAGTTGATAAGATCCAAAAAAGAACACACAATTTACATTGTTCATAAGAGTATGTTAAACGCGCTATGTTGAAATGTGAACCTTGAGAATTATATACAATGTTATGTTGTTGATATCAACCCTAACTAATACTAAATTTTATTTCAGAGGAATTGTTGAGACTCCACAAACTGACTACATTAATCGTAAAAGAATTAGACAAAAATTTAGATGCAGTACATCATTATTGCAACAACAACAAAGAGTTTTACTAAGAACACAGAACTTTGTGCTCCTTTAATATATCAGTTGTAGTATATGACAACCAAATCCAGGAAATAGTACGTAACAAACCTTCAATTGACAAAAAAAATTACACCAGGATTGAAGAGATAACATAGCGTACTTAATTAGTCCAACGCGCGAGATTGGCAAGAACATGGTGACAACAAAAAAAAATTAGTTAAACCATTAATAAAATTGATATGACTTATATTTTCTAGGTGAAAGAATATTCTCGTTTAAAATTATGTACCATATACTAGAACTGAAGAATTCCTAGAGGTGCTATGGATTGAAGACCAATACGCTGTTGTATACCTCTTTCAACTTTTAACCAACACAACAAGTTTATGTTAGAGATTAATAGCAGGAAAACGAAATAGTTTTAATGGTTTTTAAACAAAATTTCATGTTTTTCACTTCTATAAAGTATTACATTATTCTATTGGTATATATTAATGTTCTTTCCTCAATGTAAACAACCACCAATAATTCGATATGTATCTATTATTCATAAGACGTTTATTGAGCACATATAAGGCTATGAAGGATGTCATCTGGAGCCCTATATATGTGCAGGCATGCAACATCAGAAAACATTAAAAGCCACCTAGTCCCTATACATAGGAAATATAAACAAAAATAAATATATATAATGTTATATATGCACATTCATATTTTTCTTCCAGAAAATTTGGGCATACATAATCATGTTTAGGGAAGAATATTCTTCAGATAAAGTAAAGTCTATACACATTGGCATAACAATTTGGTATGTAATTCTTACACAACTTCTTCAATCTCATCCAATGCGTAGTTATTGGTGGACACGTTTGCATAATTCACTTTGTTGAATCGGACCACCACAGGGTAACGTGACTTTGGATCCTATAAACATGGTAAAAAGACAACCTTATTATTTGTAAATATATAACATGTATGTAACATGTTTGTATTTGCTACAGATCGTAATTCTAATCATAGTTACAAATGTATCGAGTTTATCATATATCTTTTGTCATTAACGGGTGAAGTTAAAAGTTTCAAAATACTAATCAGATGGATGAAGTACGTAATCCAAAGGTATTCGAATATGGTTAACCCTAAAATTAATAGTGTCTAACGGTGTTTTCATAAAATAGTTTGTAACTATATTTCAAGACACTAGTATATAAAAATTCAACAAAATTATATAAAAAGCTGACAAAATTATTGAGGAAGCAAGAACAAACCTGATCAACAGTTACGACTGATCCAACACCTTTATACCAATATGATTCCTTTCGTAGAATCCTCACCTGCATCGCATTCGATGGTTCAAAGACTATAAATACAAGTTTAATAAATAAAGACATTTAATTTAAGGAAAAAATTAGGTTTTCTTACCTTAGAACCCCTCTTGGGACCAATCGGTGGTGGCTTAGCGGCCTTGACCTCGGTTGTAGCACCTTCAGCCGGCGCATCGGTGGTAGTGGTGGCTGCTGCTGCAGGTGCCGCTGGCTCTTCTTCGGATGCCCTTACAATTACCAAGTGCCTTCTCAAACCGCGGTTATTGAAGTTCAAGAATGAGACACTTGTTCTTGATGAAGATGCAGTTGTGTTTGAAGCGGAAACAGGTAGAAAACCAGCAGCTGCTGCTGATGCCATGTTCATGTTGCATGTAGACATGGCTTCCGACTTCTCTCTGCCACTGATTTCCTGCTCTTATCCAGACCGCCAATTCGAAATTGGAAATATTAATGTAGTTGATGAACGTAAAAAGGGTTCTGGTTTTCCAGGTACTGGACTACAGTAATTGGTTGCTGCAATTTGCAGGTTTAGCATCGACCAATGTGGAGCTGCCACGTTGGTATATTATCCATTTGGATAGAATTCTCGACCCTTTGTAATGCTTTAGAATGCACAAAAGTTTTCAAAAAGTCTTTTAGGGAGTAAAGGATGAAAAAATCGGGCAAAGTTGTTACTAAAAGATTTTTATAATACCCCTTAAATTTATAGAGTAATGACAGTTATACCCTTAAATTATCAAAATATTAATTACAACTATTTGTTATGCACGTATGGCAAAAATAGCTCCATATACAGCTCTGGAAGATATTATGGCTGCGTTTAGTTACGGAAAAAGAGTATTTTTTTTTTCCGTTTTTTGTTTTCTTTTTCGGTTTTCATTTTTCATTGCAAAATTTAGATAACGCGTTTAGTTAAAACTTATTCATTTTCATTTTCAGTTTTAAAAAATTAGAAAACATTTTTAGATGTTTATTTTTCTATCGGTTTTCATTTTTTGAAACAATATCGTTGGTAGGGTGGGAGTAGAGGCGGCAGCGGTGGTGATGATGACACGCAGTGGTGGTGGCGGCAATTATCGCAGTGGTGGTGGTGATGGTAGCGGTAGTAGTGGTGGTGGTGGTGATGATGGTGATTGTAGGTCGATGATTGTGATAGTGGTGTTAGGTGGGTGGGTGTGTGTTTGTGGGGGTGGTATGTGTGTGTATGTGTGTTTGTGGGGATGGGTTGAGGGTAGGTGTGGGTTTGTGTGTGTGTGTATGTATGTTTGTGTGTGTATGTTTGAAGAGGAACGGGTAGGAGTGGGGATGTGTGTGTGTGTGTTTGTGGGGGTAGGGTTAGGGTTGGGTGGGTGGGTGGAGATGGGTGTGGGTGTGGGTGTGTGTGTGTGTGGGGGGGGGTGGGTGGGTGGGTGTGTGTGTGTGGGGGGGTGGTGGGTGGGTGTAGGTGGGCTTAGGAGTGGGTAGGTATGGGTAGGTAGGGGTATGGTAGGTTCGAGGTGTTAAGATGGGGGTAAGTAGAGGTTGATGGGGTGGGAGTGAGTGTGTATTTATATTGTAGAAAATTTTGGAATTTAAAAAATATGGAAAACAATGATTATCAGTTTTCCAAAAAATTTCAACTTCTTTGTAATTTTAGAAAACAGAAAAATTTCATTTTCCATGAAGAATTTAGTAAAATAGACGAACTAAACGCGTTTTCAAAATTCTCATTTTTCTTGGAAATTTTTTCCTGAAAATGACCCATTTTTGTGCAACTAAATTGTAACATCCCGTTTAAAATAGAATAGTTAAATAATAAACCCGGAACCTCAAGAAGTAATTTCTATTATTATTTTATATTATTATAGTTCAAAATCAAGTAATAATTAGTGGGGTGTTTGTAACAACCCAATTTATTTCAAGGAAAATTTTCATTTTTAATTAGAAAACACACTTGACTAAACCATGAAATTCCAACATAATTGTTTCAAATCCACATTCATTACAACTTTGTTTAAATCATCAGAGTGTCCCAAAACATAGTAGTGAAAAAGAGAGATATAGTGCACGCCATGCCATCACGCATTGTCTTTGCCATTGGGTTCAGATGTACTTAAAATAAATCCACAAACGGTAAGCATGGAAGCTTAGTGAGTTCCCTAGAGCACACCCACACAAGAACACATACAACATGTCATGCAAGCTAAACAACAATACAAAACACATAAGTCATGCAAAACAACACATAAGGAAGCCCTGGAAACCCTCTAGGGTCTTACTCTAGGTGCCATGGGAACCCCCAAATGGTCTTAGCCCAATTCCTTGGGAACCCCCCTGGGGTCTTTGACCTAAGAAGCTAAGGAAACCCTCCAAGTTCTTATATCTAAGTGCCTCGAGAACCTTCCGAGGTCTTTGACCTAGGAAGCCAAGGAAATCCTCCAAGGTCTTACACCTAAGCGCCTCGAGACCCCCCCCCCCCCCCCCCGAGGTCTTCCATACACAATACATAGAAACAACTAGCATATTGCATATCAAATAGTCCAAATAGCATATACGTAACAGTTAATGGGCCAACCTTGGTGCCTTCGACCCATTGGTATAGTGAGGAGATTCACCTCTGTCTGCTGAATACAAAAGTTGCTCTCCTAACAGTCTATAACCTCCGGTGCTGAATAATAATATTAGATAATGTTAGGACATTGAATAACCAACGGAGACCCAAACTCCCAACCCTTGCATAAGGCCCAATTATCCATCCCTTGTTATTGGGCTCAAAGTCTAAGTCCAAAATCCTTAATGGGCCACTTGGTCCAATAAGGCCCAATCAATATATCTATGGTCCACATCGAATGATATAGCCCGTAGTTCCCAAGTCCATACCGATTATCACATCAAAAATTAGAATATTAATTGACATTAAGTCAATTGAAAATGAGTGGTCATTCAGTGTTAACGTGCATCCTACGTATATATCTTTTTGTTGTTTCGGTCTTCCCATTAGTCATTTCCACTATGAAAGCTTCACTTAGCTTTTGGGTGTTGAATCAAGAAAGTGACCTCTTAAACCTCTCAATCTGAAGTTTACATCTCTACCACAATGGATCCTGTGCTACCACAACTTCAAGAGAAGAAGTCATCCGCAACAAAGATTTGTTATTTTCATACTTTATCTGTTTACATTGTATTGTCTAGTGTGCCTTGCATGGACACTTTAATAGAATTCAGTCTTTGTTTATTCACTATGTAATTTCTTGAGACTCTATATATAGAGTTCTCTTCTCTTGAATGAATACACATGTATTATCTCTCTTAATAGTAGAATCTATCCTTATCCTTACCTTCTCTCTTAGATCTTACTGAACTTTCATTAATATATTAAGATCAAACTCTCGTTTGGAGCAAGTCCTTGTCACTTGTTCACTTTAAGTTGATCACATATACTAACTTGGTTTGTGTTCAATCCTTTTTATGAATCAGCTTAGTGTTTACTTGATATACAACTTGCTGTCATTTACATTTCCTTATTTTCTGCACTAAAATATTCCGCAACTAACTCTCTAACTACTCTAACTTGTTATTATTATTGAGCTTTATGATCCTTTGAGATTAACTTTATTCCGCAATCTATAACTTGTTCTAACGTTTGTTCAAGTGTGTTTCTCAAAATTTTTTGTCTCAACAATTGGTATCAGAGCCAAAGTGGTTGCTTTTTGAAAAAACTCTGATTTTAGAAAGCCTTATCTACCGCTAAAGCTCGTTTTCTCAAAATTTCAAAACAAAAAAATCAAAGGATATATGGAACAAGCATTATCACTAAATGTTTCTAACAGTGTTGGTGGTTCTAATCGAGCCCCAATACTTGTTGCAAATGAGTATCATCATTGGTCCGAAAGGATGGAGAGGTATCTGAAAAGACTTGGAAGAGATGTGTGGAGCACAGTAGAAGAAGGACCTCATGTTCCCATTCTTACTCCAGTTCAAGCCGATGGTGCTCAAGCTAGACTCGGAGGAGGTCAAGCTGTAATGAACCATCCCATGAAAGATGATCTTGATAAGATGGAAAGTGATGCAGTTGCTTTCTATGAAATCTCATGCGGAGTTGCTCTTGATAAGAAACTCACCACGACACTCAACTAGTTCTCAAGAACTTGTCTGAAGGATCTGGGCAAGCCCAAGATAAAAAAACTAACCATGACACTTATGTAGTTCAACAACTTCAAAGCTCATGCTGGAGAAAGTCTCGAAGAATCCTTCAAGATATTTAACCTAATTGTCACAAAGTTATCAAATGTTGGCACCATCCGAAGTAATCATGAAAAAAATCTTCAATTTCTCAATGGTTTGGGTAAAGACTGGACTACAACAAAAATAATAGTTTAAGGTGATAGAAAGATCCAATCTTTATCCCTTTTCAAGCTATATGGTGAACTTTAGGCACAAGAATCGACAATGCTAAAAGAATGTGCATACTTCAGAGGACCACTGGCTCTTATATCTCAAGCTCCTCAAAACAAAAACATCCAACCTTATCGCCCTCATATTTTCACAAAAATCAACAGTTCACTAAACCTCCCTTCAACCATAACTTCAGTCCACAGACCAATCATTCTCGATATCCAAAAAATTCTCACCCCACTCACCAGTCTCCACAATCTCAGAACACTCATCAATCCAAGGAGGCACCACAGTCTGCCAAGCCAACTGATTGTTGTACCTTATCTGAAGACAAAAACAATGTTGTAATTTATCACAAATGCAACAAAGAAAATCACTTTGCAAAATATTGTAAAGCCAATGTGGTGAAGGATAGAGCATTCTATCTTAGAATGGCTTAAGAGATTGGAAGAAAAGGAGAAGGCTAGGGCATATGTGGCGCAGGTGAAGAGGGATCATGAAGTATGGTCGTTGGGGGATGAGGATGAAGATTTCAACAACATTAAGGGTATGTGAAAAATTTGTATGATGGCAACTGCTGATGAGGATGGATCAACCAAGCTGGAGAAAAACTACTGCTACATGGAAAAAGATGGTGCTATGAGCATCGTTGAGCAGACATTATGCAAGGAGGAACAAGAAAAGGAGCGGCAGATTGATAGTGCATGGTCCTTGCACATGACCGAGAGGTTAGAATACTTTCTGGACTTCAGGCCTATATGTAACGGTGGAAAACTCACATTCGGCAACAATGCAAACGGTATCATCTGCGGTTACAGTGTATTAGCAACATGAAACTTCTTTATACAAAAGGTTGTGTACGTAGAAGGCCTTAAGCATAATCTCGTCAGTGTAGGCCAACTTTGCAAAGCATGCCATGGGTTTGAGCTTGATAATGAGTACTGCTACATTATGAAAAGTGATAGAAGCACCTGTTTGATCAAATCCAAGTCCGAAGGAACAATGTATCTTTAGGATGTTTGATTGATCATTGGGAAACCACAGTTGTTCTTTTTATGGAAAGCAGTATCCGAAGTCAGCTGGTTGTGGCACCACAAGCTAGCTCATCTGAACTTTCGATATATCAACAACCTTGTCTCAAACGAACTTGTCTATGGTCTTCCCTTTCTGAAATACAACAATGATACACTCTACCATGTTTGTGAGTGTGGTAAACAATCAAAGAGAAGTCATTCACTGGTGGCTGATTCATCAATTTATGAGCCTATAGAGTTGCTGCATGTTGATCTCTACGGTCCA